ATGCTGGGCTCTGATGCAGCAGATCCATGTGCTGGATTTACTGGTCTGGCTGTGGAAGCTGGACAAACATGTCCTGCAAGCTCAGCTGCAGTACTACATGGCACAAGATTGGCTTGTGCATGGACAGCTTGGGCACCTGTATCAGGTGTACCTTCAATTTCACAACCATTCAAGGAAGAAAGAAATAGTGGGGGAAACAGAAGAGGGATGGGGTTTGTACATTGTCTGAATGGAGCTTTAGAGTGAGAACTTGGGATCTGATAAGAAATTGGATGCATTGAGCACTGGTGGGGATAAGAATGTGAGCAGGATTTGTCAAAGTGCAGCCAGAGGTGTGACTCCCATTGCACCAGGTACATCAGGCCCATCTCTTGTCTACTAAGAGGTATGAACCCCGCATAAAGTTTCAATTTTGGAGGTAGAAAAGAATAGACACAGTTAGTATCTGTGAGGATCAAAAGTGCATCTGGAAAGGAAAACTTTGTATTCAAATCTAAACAATTTGTGGTTGTTATCTTTGCAAAACAAACATTCTCATGCATTTGACTTTTTCCCCTGCTTACAAAACATGCTGGATGTTTTATGAAGGATGGAGCAAGATCTTTCACTGGTGGTTGTGTGCAGTACAACTAGCAGCAAGAGTTTCTGGCTGAGAGTGTCCTGTCACATACTGTTAGTAAAAAATTGAACTAATATGAGTCAGAGTGAGTGCTGACATCTCAGGACACCTACCTAAGAGCTAGCAGTCGTCCAGACCTGAGGCAGGGTATGTAGAGGGGGGAGTTGGTGCATTTCTTCTCCTTTGCAGCAGGACATGTGACCTCTGCACTTGCACATCCCATGTGCTCCTACTGTCCTGCTTGGCAGATGTTTGGTTTGAAGAAAGGCCAGAGTTCTTGCAGCGTGTCTCTAGGAGGTGCATGGTCTGTTTAATTCCTCTTGAACAAAACATCCAGTCTCCTGGTAGTGGATGCAGTATGTGGGAACTGAGTGAAAATCTTCATCTTAAAGCTTTTTGGTTAAGCCTTGACTTTTTCAGCCCCCTAAGCTATTATGGATGTTACAGTCTCCTTTATAAATTTTATTTTTAGTTGAGTAATGCAGATTTCAGTGGTTCCAGGGGGTCTGCCCTCCTCCTCTGCCTTTGCCATGACAACCTCAAATGAGGGTGGGGTGGAATGAGTGGGAAAAGAAACAGGAAGAGACACCCCAAAATCAAGCTAAACATTTATGTAATGAGTGAGTGTGTGCATTGGGGAGGTTCATATATATATATCTTGAGATAACGTGGATGTGCTGACATGTATGTTGTCTAACCCTGGCTGTGACACACAGTGCTTGAGCCTTTGGGACAGATGACGTCTCCCATCCTGTGCAGTGATTTGGTGTCACCCTCCCTCAAGATATCTGGGATGTTTGGATCTGTCTCTTTGTTATCTACCTTCGGCATGTCATTTCATTGGGCTATTTCAGCTTTCTTTCCTTTCCAGTTTGCCCCAAGCACAGGCACTGTGTGTGCTTGCAGCCTGACAGTCCTGATCACTGACTGCTTTGTCGTTGTGTCTGTGAAGCAGTAAATCAGCTGCACTGTGATAAATAGAAACTCTGCATGGGATTCCCTTTCTTTAAATAACCCAGTCTCCTTTTGCACAGAAAATGCCAAGAGATGGACTCTTAATATGTGGCAGATAAAGCCAAAAGCTGCCAAGGACTCCTCTCCCTGCTTTGAGAAGTAGTGCTGTCCTCCAGGAGATGAATATAAGTCTGTTGATGAGCTTTTCTAGCACGCCGCAGCTCTTTCTGGGTCAAAGACACAGCTGGGCAGAAAGGTAAATTTGTTCTCCACTGCTTGGTCAGCCCTTGGTTCCTCTGAAGATGCTTGTAAAAGGCTGTTTTCCTTGTTTCATCTCTCTTCTGGGTCACCTTCATGTAAGCAGACCTGGTTATAGAGCCGGTGATGCCTGTTGCCTCTGGTGTGCTGCACAGTCCCAGAGCGAGGGTAGGCACCAGAGTTCCCCCAAGCCACCATGCTGCAAGGCTGTGCCAGTGTTCAGAGAATGGGATAAGCTTGGGTCCAGCCCCAGCTGGTGATGGACAGCCAGCCAGCAGCACCTGGCTGGGACAAAGGGACCGGTCACTGGCAGGGACTTCTGTGGTCGCTTCCTCTCTGGCACGTGCAGCCTTGCCTGGGGAGCATAGCACGCATGTCCCCAGTAGATGGGCTGCTGCTGCTGTATAGGAGATCACACTCAGGGTACCAGGGAAAAATGTTTAAGGCTTACGGATGCTCACTTTGCCCCAGTGCTTATTCTCCAGGAGCCCCCTTGGAGCTCCTTCAACGGAGAGGAGGCTGGGGCCAGGCAGAGCATGTGACACGAGGAAGAAGCAGATGTAAAAACTCAGTTTTGTGTGAATGGGAAGTCAGCATGAGCACACAGCCTTGATGATCTGCTCATTTTGGTCGTGTGCTACCCCAGTGCAGCCTCAGAGCCAAGCCTGCTCTCTGCCACGTGGATTTGTCCTGCTGCCCTCCTTGGTTTGAGCAGTGCGCATGTCTTTGCAAGGACTTAGGCAATGACTTTCCTGTTCTGCTATTCAGGAGACAGAATCAGCCCCCTTACACAGGCAATTCTGGTGTGAATGCTGTGGTGTCCCTCTGCTTTCTGTCTCTGTGTGTTCACATTATGATCAGCTCTGCCAGGACTAACAGCCTATTCCATTCTCAGATGTGTTAGCGAGTGCTGGGACTCCATAGAATGCGTGGGAATCCCCCTGCCCTCAGAGATTCAGGGATCCTTGCATGGAGGCTCACACATGTTGCATGTACACCTGGGGGGCAGAAGGATGTTGCATGTGGGTGTATCCTCCTGGCCCAAGAGCTGCAGTTGAAAACTGCAGAGATATTTGTGTGAATTTCCTTTTTCTTTCTTGCTTGCTGGCTTCCTTTTTTTTTTTTTTTTTTGGGTTGTCTTGTTCCTCTCTTCTGATTTACTGAATGTGCTCACGTGGCCTTGGAGAGGGGGGTTCTCAAACCGTTTTTGCTTTCAAAAGGAAAAGAAGCTGGCAGGCGTTCATATTTCAGTTCTTGAGTTATGTAGGTTAAAGTCTCCCAGTGGGAACACGGAAGATATGAGAGAGCAGATCACTGGTGGTGATACTTGCTAGAAAGAAAACTGAAAAAAGGAGCACGTAATTCTAGAGCTACATCCAGACAAATGTGAGGTTTGAGAGGTATGTTTTCTGTCTGCTGTTAGAACCTAATTTCCATTTATTTGATTCAATTTGTGATAAAACGCCTCATTGTGTCTTAAGTAATAGTAGGAATTGCTAGTTTAGAAGCAGATTCTAAGTCACCAGTTGTTCATGTGCAGAGGGGGGAGCGTGTTTGTCAATGAAGCCTTGTTCTCAGTAATATAGCTAAAATTAATCATGATGTGGTCTATCTATTAAGAATAAGTCCGATACGTAAAGCTTTGTGACTAGTTCTGAGATTTCAGCTTCTGTAGGTTAAAGTGAGGGGTTCAGGACATAAGAGTTATGGGCAAAATGGGTTCCAGACCCTGTCCTGAATCTTTGTCGTCCCCAAACAAAAAGCTCTCCTCTAGTTTAAGACCTGTTTGATTACAGAATGTGGGCTTATGATCCAGTATTTGGGACTTTAAATAATGTCACTCTGCAGAAATGTGCATTAATATTCTCCTATTGAATCTTCACTGTTGAGACAATATAATTAAATTTTTGTCAGTATATTCAAAGTGGCATATTGTGTATTTTGCATTGAGCAAATGATAAGCTACAGTACATTAAACTGCTAATACAGGAAAATTCTTTTAAAATAATCCGTTGCCTTCTGTTAAATGAGAGATCATTACCCAACCCTGGTGTCTTGTCTTGGTCAAAATTTCTGTTGTTTTTAGGACCTCTTGAGAATTCTTTAAGGCCTAACTGGTTCCATTGGGACTTAATTAAAAATGAATTGTCTCTTTCTATTATGTAAAATAAAATATTTGGGTATGATATCTTCTTTACCGACTATAAAGTCTTACAACTTGAAAAATGCCTTGCTTGGATTGCAGACACGAGCTGATGCATGGGAACAAAGACAGACTTGTCAATTAACTCTCCTACTTTAGCTATTTTGTAGCTACTGAAACACAGTCCTGATCTTTCTAAATGAATGGCAAATACTACCATTAAATCCAATGCCTGCAAGTACTGAGTACTTAGCTGTCTATTCCTTATAACTACACTGAAAATATTTCTTTTATTCTTCTGTCTAAAAGCCATCATGAGGGCAGGAGATGCAGATTTGCTTTGAGAAGGACTCTGACAGTAAATGACATTTTGCAAAGACCCTTCAGTGCCTTTGTATCCATCCCTGTGAACTAAAAAAAAAAAAAAAAAAGTCAAAGCTTTCTTTCCTAGTAGCCTTGTTAAAAGGCTGTTTCACACGTGCGAAGTCCCAGGAGACTCTCAGGTGTGAAGTACTTGATCCCCACTGGGGAGTGCTGCTGCCTTTCTGCATTATTTGAACTTCACAGAGTGCTGGAAATGGTATGAGAAAGCCAAGAAAAGGATCACGAGGCGCTTTGGTGCTGCCTTTGGTCACAGAAATTCCCAAAGTATGTCTAGCTCCTGAGTCGATACTCTTTCTGCTCTGCTGGCCACAGAAAGCACCATCTGTAATCACAGATAAAACCCAGCTGTTCGTTCTCTGGCAGGCTAATTAAAAAGTGCTGTGACCTCCCTAGGGCTAGTTGTGTCCTGTCAGTGGGATGAAGAAAAGGAGTCCAGCAGGGTTGCCTGGTATTTCAGCACTCAGCTTACTGGCATAATTTTAAATGGCTTTTATTGTATTGTGATTGTGTGATTCCAGAGCTAAGATGGATGCAGAGTGCATGTCTAACACATGGTTTCTGATCTGCAGGTGAGCGATGTGCTAGAAAAGTGCTGCTAGCACATTAATTTCCTGCAGAACCTCCCTTTCCACCAGCATCAACATGCAGAGCAACTACTCCCTGGTCATCACCACCAGAGAAACTCTCCAAGTACTCTATACAGCACTGACGAACTCATCGGCCACATTGCGCTCGCCCCCTCCCTGCCCACTTACCTCTTCAGATTATCAGTTTTCACTAATTCCTGCACTCTTCTCTGTGGTTTTTGTTCTGGGGTTGGTCGGCAACAGCACGGTGGTTGTGGTGCTTTGTCGTCACAGTGGCCTCAAAACAGTCGCTAATATCTATATTTTCAACCTGGCCATGGCGGATTTGCTGTGCCTCGCCACCCTTCCCTTCTGGGCTACCTACTATGCGCACGGGTACAACTGGCTCTTTGGGTCTCTCATGTGCAAAATCTCCAGTTCTGTCTTGTGCTTGAACATGTTTGCAAGTATATTTTTCATTACGTGCATGAGTGTGGACCGGTACCATGCTATTGTCCACCCTATTCGCTCTCAGAGAAGAACGCCACAACAAGCTTATTTTATAGCGTTGGTTGTGTGGGGCCTTGCCTGTTCATCCTCCCTCCCAACTTTTTATTTCCGTGACACTAACTACATTGAAAGCTTGGGGGTCAATGCTTGCATTATGGCCTTTCCTCAGGAGAATTATGCAAAATGGTCTGTGGCAACAGCCTTCGTGAAAAATGCACTTGGCTTCTTCATCCCCTTGACAGTGATCACCACATGCTACATCTGGATCAGGAGTCACTTGCTCAAAGCACAGGAGTTTGGGAAAAACAAACAGAAGAGGGACAAAGTCCTAAAGCTGGTGGCTGCTGTTGTTGCAGCCTTCTTAATTTCCTGGCTCCCATTCCACATTTTAACGTTTTTGGATGCCTTGACTCATATGAACATCATTAACAACTGTGACGTGACAAGGTTCATTGATACAGTGCTGCCATTTGGCATCTGCATGGCATTCGCCAACAGCTGCATCAACCCTTTGCTGTACTGCTTTATTGGGAACCAGTTCCAGGAGAAGCTCCATCGTTTGTTTAAGCGACGAGTTTTTCAGTTCAACAGCCATCAAGAGAGCTCTTCTTTGAGGAAAGGGAGCTGCTTCAAAGATGCTGAAACCCCCATGAGCAGGGAAGGGGGGCCTGAGTCCTTGCTGTAGGTACTGGGGCATGATGTGGGGCAATGTCAGTGCAGCTGGCTGTCCCTGTAGTGGTGACACTCTTCTCTCCTGTTCCCTTTGCTTTGTGACCATTCATTCACCAGCTGTTTGAAGGAGAATCTGTTTTTCTCGTACATGGGGATTTATTCTTCCTTTCTGCAACGAGCACTCAAGTTTTAGATAGAGGGAAGATTCTGGCAAATAAATATATTGATGGCATTTTAAATATCAGCTTGTGTGTGGCTGAGATCAGGCGAGTGTTTAGTGTAACGCAAAAAGACAAAATATACCAAAGGACAATCCTGTGATAGCTACAATTGCATTGGTGCTGCGTATTATACCCTAAGCTGGTTTTCTAAAAGACATTCTCACTAGAGAACATGTAAATAAAGCAGTGCAGATGCTTCTGTACCCATCTGTAAGAAAATATTTTTACCTTTATTTTATATATTTTTTTAATTATTATTTTTTTAAATACATGGCTAGAGATGTTGTATGTAAAATTAAATGTACCTCCTGCTTGCTTAGGCCTGGGATCCTGAGAACAGGGGGAGACATGATTCTGTGAACTGCTGGAGGAAGGAGAGTATTCTTGGGGGAAAGAACAACCACATACATGTTTTCATACCTTTCTCATAGCAGGTAACAGGTTCACAGGCCAGATGGTCCTTTGCTTTGATTCAGTATGGTCACTTTTGATAGTAATGCCCCGTGAACTGAACATGTTATGTCCCACTGCTGATTGGGCATGTGGAGTCCCACATGCTGTCCAGCAACCTTTGGTGAAAGGACTTGCTGATCATCTAGACTTTTTGCATTTTAAATGTTGATTACTACTGTAATTTCGGGGTACTGTGTACAGAAAGTGTGGCTCTGTCTTGGCACCCAGAAGCAAAACCATGGTGTGACTCCTAAGACTTACCCGTATCTCACTATGGGAATTTATTAATTTGTAA